AAGAGACCCACTTGCTCCCTCAGACTCCCCTTCCCCAAACACATATCTGGGAACACGGCGTGAACATGGCTTTTCTCCCAGATGACCACCTTGCTGGTATCTCGGGAGCCTGACATAAGACAAGGAGAGTTTTAAGGGTCTGTATCAGATTGGAAGGGGATACCCATTGTATTACCTAGAGGGAGGGCATTCTCATCCCTGTGGTAGGGGATGGATAAAATCTGGGCCTTGGAGACTTTCTGGAACAGTGAGGAGTACCCTTCCCAGTGGCTAGCGTAGGCAACCATGTTTTGGTAGATTTTTCAGTTCACTTTGACTTGGTAACTATGGGGTATTTGAAGCAAGTTTTTTCTTCTCTTCGTTTATTCATTTTTTAAAACGTTTTTATTTTGTACTTTGGCCATTTTTTTAGATAATGAAAGTACATTTCTAAAATATCTAAAAGCCCTTGGTGTGTCTATTAGAAGAGTCTAGAACACTTATAGATGTCTTTAAATACTTGAACATCTCCCCCTAGCAGTTATAATCTTCCTACCATTACGTTACTCTCCAGGCCCTTGGCAACCAGGTGGGTCAGGCACTCACTGTGAGCCCAGGTTGTGCTGCTGTCAGAGAAGGGCAGCTCCGTGTGGTGTATCCCCGCCTCCTGCAGATGTGTGGCTGTGTAGGAATCAAGGCTGCCATGTATGTGTATAGCAGTGTCTTTTGTCTCTGAGATGCCGAGGGTCTGACACTTCCATTGATTGCAGGGCTTATTCACAAATTTCTCACTGAGGTCATGCCTCCTTTCTACAGGGCCTCTGTAGCTATGGTGGTTGCTATAGCTAGAGAGGTTCCTGTAGCTATGAGACCTGCTATGGCAGTGGTCACTATTGCTACAGTGACGTTCCCTATTGCTATGGTGTGGCTATAGCAACGGCAGCAGTCTCTAGAGTTATGGCAGTCCATACAGCTACCTATATGCATAGGTATCTATACTCAAAGCAAATTGCAGCATGTGATGCACTGTGCAGGGAGGTTTCTGGTGTACTAGAAAGCTACTGTAGTCCCTTTGGCATATAATTGTGAACTCAGAAGGCAGGTGGGAATACAAAACATACTGAACCTGAAGAGTCTGCCAGTGACCTGTGAAATAGCTTCTTTGAGTTCTCTCTCCAGTTGTGGGAAAGAGGGGTGGATAGATTTGCATGGGGCTTGCAGAGTTAACACTTCTTAAAATTTACATGAAAAACACTTGTTGTTTCATGATCCAGGAAGAATCACTAGTAATATTTCTGACTGCATGCTTGGAATACTTTTTCTATGCATAAGCATATGTTTGTAAATATTTGTAATTTTTTTTTAAAATAAAAATGGGATCATGCCATCCTGAAACCATTTTTTAAATTCAATAATACACTGAATATCATTCTCTGTCATTAAAGGGTATTCTAAAATATTATATCAATGGTTACATTATATTATGATATACCATAATTTATTTAACCAGGACCCTATTTTTGTACAGAGATTCCCCCCAGCTTTTTGCTACTCTACACAGTGCTGTGATGAACATTGTCTAGCCAAATGTGCACAACCCTAATTCTTTCTGTCAGATAACTTCCTAGAAGTCAAATGGCTGGGTCACAGAAAGCAGACACTTCTAAAGATGTGACGCTTTGAGTGGTACTGCTGAATGGTATTCCATTAAGTTTGTGCCAACCTCCATTTCCACCACTAGTAAGTAAACAGGTGCCTGTTTTCTCAAATTATCACCTCCACTGGGCATTATAGTTTTGTTATCTTTGCAGATTTGTTCAGAGCAAAATGCTATCCTGTTTAAATATGCATTTCTTTGAATCTAAAAGGAGGTGAAACACTTTTTCAATATCTTATTAGACACTCTTAAAATATTTTGTGAATTGCCTGTTTGTGTCCTTTGCCCATTTTTTTTTTTTACTGGGGTCTGCATATTTTCTCATTTCTGCATATTTCTGCATATTTTCTCATATATTTTAAGGACTCCTTTTACATTAGAGATTAGGAAGCCCTTATATATTCCATAAACATTTTATTTATTCATTCATCAGTTGATGAACCTTTGGGTTGTTCATAGCTTTTATGGATACTGCGATGAACATGTGTGTGCAAATGTTTATGTGGACATATGTTTTCAGTTATGTTGGGTATATACCTAGAAGTGGAATTGTTAGGTCATGCTGTAACTCCGTGTTTAACTTCTTAAGGAGCAACCAAACTGTTGTCCATAGCAGCTGCACCATTTTACATGCCTGCTAGCAATGTTCAGGGGTTCCCATTTCTTCACATCCTTACCAACACTCCTTCCTGTCTTCCCCTCTCTCCCTTCCCCTTGTCTTCTTTCCTTTTTCTTTTTTTGGATTACAGTTATCCTAGTGGATATGAGATGGTGTCTCATTATGGTTTTGGTTTGCATTTCCCCAATGACCAGCAGTGTTGAGCGTCTTTTCATGTGTTTATTGGCCATTTGTATGTCTCTTTGGAGAAAAAATTCACTTCCTTTGCCCATTTTTAGATTGAATGATTTGCCTTTTTATTATTGAGCTGAAGAGGTTCTTTATATATTCTCAATACCAGCTCCTTATCAGATATGTATTTTGCAAATATTTTCTCCTATTCTGTGGGTTGTCATTCCACTTTCTTGATGATGTCCTTTGAAGCACACAGGTTTTTAATTTTGACAAAGCCCAATTAATTTTACTTTTGTTGCTTGCACTTTTAGTACTGAAGTTTTTACTTCTGATCTGATCTTTTCCGTTTTGAGTTTCCGGCTTTAGGATCATATTTAGAAATCATTTTTACCCCAAGATAATAGAAATTCCTTACCCCTAAATTTTTCTGTAGTGCTTTATGCCTTCATCCACGTTATCTTTACTGGGAACTGACCTTCATGGATGGCATTGGGTTGGATAATTTTATGTTATGCCCGTGACTCATCACCAACACCATCTTTTGCACAGTGTGCATTTTGTAGAGTAACTGGGTTCAGTCTGTGCCTAGAGGAAGTAAGCAGGGCTCAGTAGCCCAACATGGCTCAAAGCCATGACCTCGGCTTGGCTAGCTCCAGTGGCCTGTGTGATTGACTTCAGGCTCACGTAGTGAGAAAGGACAGAAGGATCTAAGATGACTGGCCATTTTTTCTTCCAGATGTTTCTTAGCCTCACAGTAGTTTCCGTTCACATGCCCATCTGAGAAGACTTGCCCACAGGATGGGATCACTTTTTTTGAGGAGGAAGAGAAGCACATTTTTGCCATCTTCTTAGGATAAGACCTCCTACAATCACAAATGGTCAGATAGTTAGGAGCTGCTGAAGCTGTGGACTATTGAGCTTTGAGTCTTTTTGAAAGGCTGGGAAAGTCACCCTTCTCTCCATTTGTCCCTGGGGGGAAATTAGGAAGGGGTTTGACGTGTTTATCTTTCTTATCACAGCCTGTTGCTCAGCAGTCTCGTGATGTCTAAGTTACTGGGAATCCTTGTGGCCAAGTACTCCTAAGGGAAAGGAGACCTGAGAACACTGTTTCCTTCTGCCTTGAGGTGAAAGAATAGGTTGAATAACTCAGAGTCCAGAAAAATAGAAGTCTAGTGACATGAACACGTTAGCAGAGGATGCTATCACAACAGCCACCTCCAGCACAGCGGAGGGGACCTCTCTGTTGATCTGGCTGCACACAGTGACCCCCATCTTCCTGTTTGTTATGCTTTCTCCAACAGCAATGATTGTGTGTGTTTATTTTTTGTTTTTGTTTTTTTTAATGCTTTGTTAATAACCATTCATATCCAATCAGGGATCTTTATACAATACACAGAGCTCAAGGATTCAGCCTTAGGTGGGAACATAACAAACCTCATTTTCCCCAAGAATCTTTTTTTTTCCAATAGGCTTTATTTTTTAGAGCAGTTTCAGTTTCACAGAAAAATAGAGAGGAAGGTACAGAGAGTTCTCATATTCCCCCTACCCCCACGTGTGCACAGCCTCCCCAGCGATCAGTACCGCAGCCCCCAACCCTGACAGAGTGGTACAGTTTTACAGTCCACGAACCTCCATTCCTCCTGACTCTTTGATTGGTGAAGGAAACGTTGGAGCTCGTTTGCCTTCACTATGCCAGGGCGGTTTCCCCTGAGAACCCCGGGCTCTGGGAACACAGTCTGCCTCCATTAATGAGCATTCGGCCCTGAGAAGAGGATGGGATGAATGGTGAACTCAGCGCTAATTAAGGTACTGAAATGGCACCAGTGGCTTCTCAGCGAGTAGCTGTCTGGGGAAGGGTTGTGTGCGTGTGTGTGCGCGTGTGTGCATTTAACTCTCTGCAGTTCTATCGTGTGTGATTTGTGTGACCACCACCATAGTCAATATACAGAACAGTCTGTCACCACAAGGTTGCTTCCTGTTGCTCATTTATAATCCTAGCTAACTCCCTCCCTCCCAGCTCTCACCAGCCCCTGCCAGCATTCATTTGTTCTCCAGCTCTGTGATACTTCAGATCCTTTTGAATTTCAAAATAGTGGATAAGGGATTGTGAGCCTACATTTGTTTATGTTCCAAGAGCGACTTCAGCTGTAGTTGAGGCAGTGGCTACGTCAGAGACCCGTGGCGGTGGCATTGAGAGTCAGGCTCTCCTGGCACAGCACCCCACCCCCCGACTTATGGTGAGGCCACTATGTGCAGCCACACCACTGGGAGCAAAGAGGTGAAATACAATACTGTGCCTACAGAGCCCGGCACACAAGGCCTGCTCAGGGCAAGGTGGCTGCCATTTTAATAATAAAAAGTTCCACCTGGTGGCCTGGGCTTTGCAGGTGGTAGGCATAAGAAAGCAGGCCTCACTGCTGTCCAGTAGAAGCCTACGGGTGATCCACGAGTTGGGGTCTTGTCGCATAGGTGGGATTGGAAGGGCTAGCACTGCCATCCAGCTCACCGAGGCCTGAGCTCGAGCCTGAGCTGACTGGTCGCTGGCACTAAGTGCTTTTGTCTTTTCTCCAGGTGATGGTCGGTACGGCAGCGATGACGACCCTGGATCTGGTGGGTTTCTGAATCCTGAGGCTCCTGTTGGCCATGTGAAAGGAAAATGAATCTCAGGACCCCAAAATCACTAAGCCAAGGGAAAAGTCAATCTAGAAACTGCATCAGGCAAACGTGCCTCCTATTCTATTCCTAAATAAGATAGCTACAAAGTTGGAAAAAGCTGCATACCTCCCTCACAATTTGCCTGCAGGGAAATTTCTTATGGGCCTCAATATCTTTACCCTGAAACTGTTCTGTGAATTTCACCCTGGCTGATCTTTACAGAGGGAGACAGGGCCGTCCCTCTGCTCCCCCCCCCCTCCCAGACAAATGCATATCTGATTGCTTCCTCTGCCCAATTGCTTACGTAAAAATGCAGATTCACTGAGCCAGATGAAATTGTGTATTCAGTGAAAGGCTGGTCAAGGACTCAAAAGAATGCAACCTTTTGTCTCTTTCTCTTATCTCCCTATGACCGGGAAGCACCCCACCTCCACCCCTGCTTTGTGTTGTCCTGCCTTTCCGGATCAAACCGATGTACATCTTACACATTTGATTGATGTCTCATGTCTCCCTAAATGTATAAAACCAGCTGTGCCCCGGCCACCTTGGCACATGTCGCCAGGACCTCCTGAGGCTGTATCATGGGTGTGTTGTTAACCTTGGCAAAATAAAGTGTCCTTTTTTTTTTTTTTTTCCGCTCTGTCGCCCAGGCTGGAGTGCAGTGGCATGATCTCAGCTCACTGCAAGCTCTGCCTCCCGGGTTCCTCAGCCTCCCAAGTAGCTGGGACTACAGGCGCCCCACCACCATGCCTGGCTAATTTTTTTTTTTTTTTTTTTGGTAGTCATGGGGTTTCACCGTATTAGCCAGGATGGTCTCAATCTCCTGACCTTGTGATCCGCCCACCTCAGCCTCCCAAAGTGCTGGATTACAGGCGTGAGCCACCGCGCCCGGCCTGGCAAAATAAAGTTTCTAAATTGATTGAGGCCTGTCTCAGATATTTCATAGCAACTATGAGGAGACACAGTGCTGGCCCACTCTGGCCTCAGAGTTGGCCATCCCCCTGAACGTTTCCAATAGATAATCGTGAGGCCAATAGAGGGGTGTAGCCATTTGAAGGAATGAAGCATGAAGATTGGGGTGCCAGGGGAAGTAGCCCAGTGGGAAGCCTGCAGGGCCTCAGTCACAGAAAGCACTGCACCATTTCCATGTCTCCCTTTCAAGCTCCTCAAAAGTGAAGTCCTTACAGAAAATGAGAATTCCTAGGCAAATCCAAGGGGCACCATGTCTTTGTAATGCATTAGATCTGTGTGGCATGGCCCTCTCCTGCTGGCTTGGGGGTTGTGGGCATCTGAATGAACTTAGTTTGGTGCTAGAGGAAAAGCAGGCTCCCGGACTGCTCCCTGGGGTGCTTTGGCTCTGACCTCACCTGTCCTCATTTCTCCCCCTTCTTCATACAGGCACGGTGGCAGAGACCGGCACCATTGCAGGGGTGGTCAGCGCCCTGGCCATGGCCCTCATTGGCGCCGTCTCCAGCTACATCTCCTACCAGCAGAAGAAGTTTTGCTTCAGCATTCAGCGTAAGTGCAGCCGCCCGCTCATGGCTGGGAACCGGCCGGCAAGGTCTTTGGAGGGAAAGGGTCCAGGACAGATCCAGATCCCTCCACAGCCTGCCTGAGACCCACTCCCAAGCAGACTTCCTGGGACGGGGGTGGAGGCTACAGTTTTGGAAATCCCTGGGGACAGATCTAGGCTGAATTAAAGTGTAAACCAGCCTGCAAGAGCAGATGGGGCTGGCCCTGATGACCTTCACCTTCCCAGGGCCCCAGCTCCCAGGGGTACTTCTGTGGGGACAGAGCTCAGTGATCATTGTGATGTTTCCTTCACGTAGAATGGGAGGGACCCTGGACTGCACCCATAGCTTCAGACCTCAGCCAAGGGGATGAGGGCCTTTGGAGGCCCTACGTCAGTAGCTCCCTCCCATGCTGCTGGCTCCCTCAGGAGCAGAGGGCAGCGGTTCCTGGGGGTTTGCAAAACATGGCCCTTATTGCTCTGGCAGTGCCCCCGTCACATCCTGAGAAGTCACTGCCTGGTGCTCTTCCCGAACCACGCGCCACAAACTAAACTAAACGGAATCATGAATTGCTCCAAAGAAGTAGGAATGTGAGAGAAAGAATGACGTGGTTCCCCCCACCACCCCCACCACCCTTTACTAGGTTTTTAAAAGACAGTTTTCATCTCATGCTGTAGCTGTGAGTCTGCAAGTTATGGATTAATGGAATAGTTACAAATGGAATCCTGTCTTCACCCGTCAGTGCCCCACATCAGCGAGCCCTGTGGCGATGCTGTTGTGGGAACGAGAAGACCTCGCTCGTCCCTTTTATAAGCACAGATTGATGCTCTGTCACTGTTTGCTGAGTGGAGCATGTCTCCAGTTCAAGGCTGGAGATTTTCAGTTCAAGCGACAGAATGTGACTCAGCTGTAGCTTGTCTCTTTCCACTCCTTGGCCCCTTTGATGCGAGGGGAAGCTTAGAAACAGCCCACGTGGCTCTTTCCCTGCCCTTGCCGTGGTCCTCTGCCCTTAAATCTAGCCTGAACTGAGCTTCCCAGAAAACTAACCTGGGTCCCAAGATGCTTTGCTGAAGTCTCCAACTGCTTATTCATCTGACCATCATATTTGTTTCCTTCACTCTTGTAGAACATTCTTGACCAGGGCGACACACACAGCATGCACAGCAGTACTGTAGGAACACATTGACATGTCAGTGCACAGCCTGCAAAACTGTTCATGGCCACCCTGCTTGAGATCCCACTGACCCACCGTGGATCAGGAAGCTTGACTGTAGAGTGGCGTGAGCAGGGAGTGGGTCAGACAGAGTCCAGGGCTGGGGACTGGACGGTTTTTAGAGTTATCCCTTTCCCTCAACTCAAAAGTCAAGGAATCTTCTAACTGGTGAAAAAGATGGGAATCCAACCTTCTCAATGCGTGGACACTGATATTTAGATGGAGACACTGGGCGAGAGGATCGAGTTGCACTTAGTGTGGCGGGGGCAGTTTTGCATCAGCCTCCTGGGCTGTGCCTGGAACAACGAGCCCAGGGCAACCAGGTACATAGTCACAGCCCTTGATCTCTGACCTTGTTCTTATTGCATTTGGCAAAAAAGTAGAAGCCGCCTAATACAGGGGGTTTCTGTCCAAGAGGCTCCAAGGCTGTCCTCTGTGGGCTCTCCCTCCGGCAGGTGGATTGGAATGAGATGGGAATTCTGGGACACATGGCCTTCCCCGTGGTCAGGGATCCTCATTTGAAACTGCTTTTTGGGCTGGGATCTCTCCATACTCGTCTCCCCTCCCTGTTTTAGGGGAGGGAGCAAGGACCTGGCCAGGGACACTTCGGGAGAACAACTGAGAGCATCGTGCTTGCCAGGAGAGGAGTCAAGATTTTGGATAAGCATCCAGGTTCTCAAGATGGTCTCTTGGGAAAAGATAAAAGCCCAGATTTGGATTAAACCAGGCCTGTAGGAAAAAGTTAGAACTGACTGAGAGAAAAGTATCTTTCCTGTATGATTGATTAAACTAGTTGGTAACTAAAATGACATTGAACAAATATTTATTATTAAATCCTACACCCAGAGAGGCCCTCAAAATGGAGGCCACAGTGGCAGGGGAGGTCCTGGTGGCTGGCTAGGGGGCTTCTCCTGTTTGGACCTTTGCTGGAGAGCGTTTTTGGCTGGAAGCACCATGTCAGATACATTTTGGCCTTGATTTCCCCTTCTAGGTGGTTGGAGTGGCAAGGAGGCTTGGTTTGTAGCAACAAAGTAGTTGTGAGCTCTTTGAACAAAAAGGCTAATGCCCCGGGAGCCAAAAGGGCTCACTGGTGAAGTTTGCCAAAGCTGTATGAGTTCACTGGGGCTGCCAGAACAAGAGTCACAAACTGAGTGGCTCAAAACAATAGAAGTTGATTCTCTCCCAGTTCCAGGGGACTCCGGGTGTTCCCTGGCTTGTGGCTGTATCACTCCAATCTCGCTTTATATCCTAAATCCAGAATGACCTCATCTTAACATCCTTAACTTAATTACACCTGCAAAGACCCTGTTCGTAAATAAGGCCACGTTCACAGGTTCCAGGAATGAGGACTCGCAGATCTTTTTTGGCATGGGGCGGGGCATCCTTCACTATAGCATCATTAGCCTAATGGTGAGATGCGACAGTCCACAGTTTTCAAATCCATGCCCATTACAAAACTGGGTGAGATGGCCAGGCCAAAGGATGGCTTTGAGACTTTAAAAAGCATGCTGGGTAAAAGAAACTACTTAAACTACAGGTCTGTAGTTCCTAGTAAGAGCAGCCTCCCAGGCATCGTGCGCTTGCCACCCACCTGCCATTGCCTCTCTTCCGGGCTCTGCACGTGGGTGAAAAGCCAGCCCTGTAACTCGGCCTGGCAAGGGCAGGGCCATGGATGGGGAGAGTTCTTGGGCTGAGCAGACAGGGTGGCCGGCCTGGGCCCTCTCCTGCTGGGCCCTCAGTTTCCCCATCAAGGGTATCTCAACTTCCTGCTCTGGAATTAAAAAGTCAGAGGCTGGCTTGAGGTTGCTCAGGTGTCAGTAGGAACAGAGAGAGAAAAATAGGTTGATTTCTAAAGCACAAAGTGAACATCTTGATTGTATCTGTCTTATCAAAATGGAAGGAAAATACGTTATTTTCATGCTTATTTCCTAAAACGGGCCAGTGTGAGGTTTTGCGAAGTGAATCAGCAGGCAAAGCGGGGCAGCTCCCAGGAACCCTGTCGGCCCAGTGTGTCCATCTTGGATTTCACTGCCCTTCCCCTCCAACCTTCCTTCTGCCATGGCACCTTCCTGTGTGGCTGTCTCCCCAAGCTAGAGGCTGGGAGGCCTCCTGTCCCCCCACCTCATGTCAGTGCATTCCCCAGTCCTGGGATTTGTGCCAGCTGCGTAGGTCTCCTCTTGAGCCACACCTCCCTATCACCATTGCCATGGCCCCTGCCAGGACAGAGCCAAGGTCTTCCCCTCATCTTCCATCCAGAAGGTTCCATAGACCTTTGTGCCTGTCCAGTCTCCTCCACACCTCACTCTCCTCCAGGGGGACCTGTTTTAAAATGCGTGGATCCCCTTTATGCTTCCTGCTGCCCTCAAGGTCCTGGCTGAGCCCCTGAGTTTGGCATTGGAAGCCCTTCATGGTTTGGTCCCAACCACATCCTTTCCCCTCCATAGGCCTCCCATAGGCCTTTCACTTCCCGAGGGCGCCATGTGCTCTCCATCCCGGGCCTCCGCTGTTGCCCCTCCTGACCTAGCTCCTCTCGCCCAGCAGGCCTGGAGCAGCCTCTCCCAGCCTGTGGTCCCACAGCGCCCCCTGCTGACCTCACCTGGTGCTCATGGGGCGGGATTGGGCCGGTTGGTTACTGTGTCGTCTGCGACTCCCAGCTCGCCTTGCCGCCTCAGTGATCAGGAGTCTGGACCGTCCATTCCGTGGTGGGGCTGCGTGTACATCATGTCCCTGGCACCTGGCCCGGGCCAGAATCAGGAGGGGTCCCGCAGACGTTTGTGGGGTGGCTAAGCACACTGAGAAGCTGGGGGTTGGGCTTCCTGTCCCCACTCTTTCCCTTGAGTCTCAGCCACTGCCACATGGAGATGGCGGTAGAGGGGGCAGGGGTGCAGAACACGAAGCCCTGGGGAGACAGCAGGAGGTGGCTGCGAGGAAGGCCTGTCCCCGCCACTGCTGGGGACCCTCGGCTTCCCTTGCCTTTGCCCTCGGTGTGGAAAGCCCGCATGTTTGCTGTCGGGAGCGCTCTCACTCCAGGGTTCTAAGCTTTGTGTCTTGCCTTCAGATGCAGCAGAAGGTCAAGGTAATGCTGCTTTGCCTTCCTCACTTTCCTTTTGCTTCAGCCTTCATGCTTACTCATTTGCCCCCTGTTCTGGCGCTTCCTTGCCACTCTTCTCCCTCCTGCTTCCCTGGCACTCACCGACGTGGCTATAACTGGGACCATCTTTAGCTTGCCCTGATGCGTGTGAGAGGATGCCACCTGCCAGGCGCTGTGTCCCCAGGCTGGATGTTGCGGGAGCCGGGGGAGAGTTGAGGTGCCGTGGTGAGGGCTCACTTGTCCACTGGTGGTCGTGCCTGGGGAGCACATAGAGAGCCACCCACAGGCAGGAAACGATCCAGCGCCCACTGGGGTGGCAGCTGGCAGTGATCACGAGGTTCAGGGTGTGTCTCCTGGCCTCCACCTGTCAGCTGGGAAGGTGCACCTGGGGCAGCTTCCACTGCACTCATCACCTGCCCCGCTCTGCGTGGGGCTGGCCACACCTGCCAAAGAGCAGTGCCCGCATTTGTCACAGGCCCATTTGGCTCCCACCTCGAGCCCAGCAGCCACCGGGGCAGGCAGGCGGCGGGCATACTTGTTTAGGCAAGGAGCCTGTAGCCCAGGACGATGGCTTGGGTTGCACTGGTGCCTGGTCGGTCGGTCGGTCGGTCGGTCGGTCGGTCGGTTGGTTGGTTAGAACCATGCCCCGGTTTTCCCACAGCCCCGGGGCTGAGGGGTTCCAGTCCCTGTGCTATGCAGGGATGAGACACAGACTGGACTCTGCAAGCAGCAGCAGGAGTGGGGTCCACTCTAAGAACTTGAACACTGGCGCTTGCTGGCTGAAGGGGATGCTGGGTACCGTCCCCAAATCCCTCTTGTAAATAGGTGTGGAGAAAGCCTAGATAACCAACTAGACTGAAGCAGCTGCTGGCGGGCCAGCCCCTCCAAGCTCGGGTGGACACAGCAGTTATTCCTGTGTTAAGCCAGTTGGCCTCTCCGCACGGGTATTGCTGGGAGGCTGCATGCGGGCAGGAGGCTTTGCTGCATCTCCACGGTGCCCTGCATCCATCAATCACTCATAGCAATTGGCTCCCTGGCCCCTGGGCCGCACATGGACCTGTGGATGGTGCTGAGCCCTGCCATCGGGCGCCCCCTCCACTGGGCGGAGCTGCCATCTTGGCGTGGTGGCGGCTGCCCTGTGAGGATGGAGCACCACAAGCCTTTGCTGCATGTTACTGTTATTTCTGAGGACGACGGTGAGAACTCCTGGACAGTGAATCCCTGGACAAACAGTTTTCATCTGGATAAGGATGTTCACGTGGCCCAGGGTGCAGGGTCTTGAGCTCCCTAGGGCAGCTGTGCTGCTTTTTTAGCTGCAGAGGGCTTGGTCAGGCATTCTTAGCCACGGTTGGGGACCCGTAGGTCCTGTGCGCGTCACTCACTCTGCCCTTTCCCCTTTGCAGAGGGTCTCAACGCAGACTACGTGAAGGGAGAGAACCTGGAAGCCGTGGTGTGTGAGGAACCCCAAGGTGAGGACTTTGTACTCACTGTCCCTTGCTGACACTTTCCTAGTTGGTCCCAGCACTGAGCAGAAGCGTGCTAGAGAAGCAGGAAGCACAGAGACCTCTGCTTCTAGAATGTCCGGCCAGAGCAAAAGCCTGCCCTGATCAGCCTGCCTCCCAGTTTTCATGAGCCAAAGATGCTGGGGTGACAGCCAGGGCCATCTGCTGCCATGCCCGTGACTTCTGGGCATTGCTGCTGCTCAGCCCCTGCCCTTGATTCGTGTGAGCCAGAGCCCCAGGCACCTCTGCTCCCCATCGGCGAAAACAATTACATTCTGAACAGAGCCATGGGGAAGCTTTTAACCCAGACCTAGAACTTTTCCCTTTGCAGATTGCCACAGGCAAGAGGGAACTTGGTTAAAACCCAGACCCTATTGTCAACACCTGTGCCCCTCCCTCCCCCTTCTGTGGCCATCAAGCACTTTCTGGATTCAGGAGCTGTTGGCAATTTGAGGTCGCATAAGTTCAGGCCACAGGCCTAGAGTGCCCAACTGCTCGAGGCAGATATGACCTGTGCCCACGGGATGCCAATGAGGAGGTCCAGAAAGGCTTGCTGAGGTCGGGGAGCAGGCCGGCTTCCCAGCAGCCAAGGCCTGGTGGCGCAGGCAGGGAGACTGGGACAGCTCAGGCAAGTGTTGCCCCTGGAACTACAGTGCAGTAGCTGCGGGGACTGGGCCTGGGAGAGCAGGAGGAGCTCGGCCTGTGTGCTATGTGCTGGGGAGCCGGGTGCCCTACAGCACTGCTGGAGACGGGTGGCAGTGCTGCACCGAATTAACTAAACTAGGCCTGGGTTCACATGTGGAAAAATGGACTCCACTGTCGCGAGCTTTGCCACAGTTAGCCACCATGAGGCCAACATCTGTGTGGACAGGTACTACGTTGAGCACTTTATTTAAAATAATCCTTCCAGCAGTGCTGGCAGGAACATGCTCATTTTTGAGGCGAGGAGATGGAGGCTGAGCTGTTTCCAGGGCCTGTCTAGCTTTCTCTTTATCTCCCCTTGACCCGCCCAAAGCTCCCAGGCTCAGGACAGTCCTGACTGGGGACAGGGAGTGGGTCCCAGAGGGAAAGTTGTACAGGCAGGGCTAAGCGGTCCCCCACAGGATACAAAGGGAAACCTAGTTCTGTTCCCAGCACCTGCTTGCTGCTGTATTTGCTGCTTCCGTGCAAGACAGAGCGGAATTCCTTCTGACGGGCCTCTTCTTCCCCTAGTGAAATACTCCGCGTTGCACACACAGTCTGCAGAGCCGCCACCACCCGAACCAGCCAGGATCTGAGGGCCCTGTCCAGCTGTAGGCGTGCACAGTGGTGCCACCGCTTGTCACCCGGCTCCCCCCTTCTCCCCACCCTTCATTTGGACCCACAGCTGCTGTGCTGCTCTGTGTCGTCGGCTCCTTGTTGGTCTAAGTTTTCCGGACGAGCTCTGGGGGTTTGTGAGTTTGGTTTCTCTGCCCTGCCACAGGTGCTCTGAGACTTGGTGCCGAAATTCAAGAGCCAGCTCTGATAGAAAGCCAGCACCAGCCTCGGGAACTGCTGAGCCACCAACTCCCAAAGCCAGCCTGCCTCCAGCTTTACTGAGCACAGGATGTGGGGGCCAAGATGGTGCTGGGGCTGGATGACATGTATGCTTAGGGGACAAGAGTTGGAACCCATGGGACTGTGACCCCTGCACACTGGAGTGGCTCACTGTGGCAGGTTTCTGCCAATAGCCCCTGACGGTGACCTCAAGGAGCTGCAGGTGGGGAACTCAGCCTGCACCCACTTCACTTGGAGCCCCTGCAAGGAGCGAACCAGTCAGCACCAAGTAACAGCACGCGCACGCAGCACCCAGGATGATGGTTTCACTTCGGTCTTCCCCATCCCGGCTTTTATGTTGCTGGGCTTCCAGGGAGCCGGTGCAAGTGGAGACTTTCAGTTATTTAAGTGCAGACATGTATCTCATGATAGTCCTGCCCTGAGAGTTTAGAAATCCTCTGGATAAGTATGAAGCAATTCATAGGCCTGTTTCCCATCTGATTCCATAGGGGACTGGATGTGGCCTTAGGGGTGACATGATAAAGGTCTTTAGGAATCATTTCTGCATTGGAGATGAGTTTTATCCTGTGCTGGGGAGAGGTGCGCACCCTCCACCCTGTATCTATTCCTATTTTGGTAGCAAGAGCTACCGATGTCAAGAACGAGCATCAAAGCCAGAATCATGCTTGTTGTTTGCTTAAAAATGTAATTGGGGGCGGCGGGGGAGGAGAGGGGAAAGACACGTTGGCTTGGTTTAGTGAAACACACGTGACTTTATAGCTCTGTGGTCAGCCTACCTGTCTGTTCTGAGGGAGAGTGCGTGGGAACCCATGCTCACCGTGGCAAACACCGGAACCCCATGACTAGCCCCTCACCTGGCATGGAGCTGCCTGGTTTGGGCTGGAGCAGAGCTGGTTTCCTGGAATGTTCCTTTGGCCCACATGTGGTTCTGTCCCGGTGAGCTCTGTTGTCAGAGGCTCACGGGACAGAACCACATGCTAGGGTCTAGGGCCCCTGTCTACTGATGATCAGTTTGCCATGTCAGAAAGCACTTCTGAGAACAGATATGAGTCACCGGGCAGGCGGGGCCTTACAAAACTCACGGGCCTCTTTGGTCTGCAGGATGGCCCCACGTGT